CAAAGATTATAACTTACGATTTAAAAAAATCGTTAAGATTGATCAGTATTCTTCAATCTTTTTTTTGGTATTTTTTTCTTTATTCTAGCCATTACGGTTCAGTAGCTATATAGGTTTTTTGTTACGACGAACTTGCGAGTCGCGCGCGGTTCGGACGCCGCGCGCAGCTGGACGTTAGAGCGATAAACGGTCGCGCGGCCCGGACGTTAGAGTGGATACATAATACTACCTAACTCGCTACATCTTTTCTATCATATTTTTATATCATTTTATTTCATACTCAAAACATTTATTGCTTTGCTACCAAATGTTCGGTCTCAATTAATAGTTAAGTATTTTAGTAGTTGCTTCGAAAAACTCATTTAAAATAACATAACATCATAACATCACGCCTTTTATCCCCGAATGGATAGAGGTGCACAATATACCACTGTACAATGTAACGCCCACTTTTCACTATTTATGTTATGAGTCCCATGTAATAGGGGGTGAGCCTATTGCCATATACCGGGAATAATTCCAGACTCCGTGGTACTACTGAGAATTTTTCAAAAACCCAGTAATACATTGCCCGACCCGGGAATCGAACCCGAGACCCCCCGAGTCGCACTTGCAACCACTTGGCCAACGAGGCAGTCGTATAAGATAAAAATATCGAACTCAACCGCTAACTGTAACTACTGCATGTAACAGTTTTTGTAATCGGTATGCATGTCACACAATAACACTATGTAGAAGGAAACAGCATAATAATATATTTGTATGTAGTCTAGATACAGCACTGATACACAGACAGTGGTGTGTTTTGAATTAAACATATGTTAGTAACAGAACAATTAGTTTTTTAGATCAGTATGTCAGAATAATTACTAATTAGTGTATTAATTATTAAAATATACTTAATATTTGTGGTGAAAGTACGTTTAAGAAACCTACTTTCATCTTACTTTTCAATGTATTCAGTTGACTAAATACATTGTACACCTGTAACTGAAAATACAATTAGTTATCATTTAATTAATATTAGTTATTAACACACCTGAGAAAGGATTTTTTATTTGATGATAGCTTTAAAAGGCGAATTATTTATTTAGTTATTCATGTACCTATTTAATAATGTTTCATTATTTTATTATTATCTTTTTTAACCGACTTCGAAAAAGAGGGTTTTTTTAAACGCAGTTTATAAAAGAATTATTTGCAAAGTATCAAAGTCAATAGGTTTTTTCACCAAACGTAGGTATACGCATTTCATGCAACATGGTACTTTTCACCACCAATAGTTTTTTTAAGAGTCCCATGTAATATGAGACATAGTTACACCATCATTTTGTCCAATATTGGTTGCCAATAACCAACAACAACTGTCCGCCTGAGGTCCCAATCTAATCACAAACATTGGTTACAGATGCGCCACCCAAAATAGGCAACCATGAGTTGGCTCCGGACAACCAGCCTCTCGCTTGCTCGCCAGCTCTCGAGGACCCTCGACCCTCGACACGACTACGAGCCACATGCCTGCTACGTGTCATTTTGCAAGCACTGGCAACAGGCACACGATATTATACTTAAATCTCAAGTGAGTATGGTTTAAAATGTCTTAACATGATCAGAGTGACATGTGGCTGGAATTGAATGTGACGTCATTATCCTCGTGATCGGTAAATTATGACGTTGGGAAATGTTAGAATCAAGAAATGTGTGTGCCTCAATTTTCGACTTTAGGTATACGTAAGTAATAGAGTTGGAAGTCTATTATGAAGACTGTACTTTTATGAAGACTTGACTGCCTCGTTGGCAGAGCCGAGTGGTCGCAAGTGCTACTGCTCGGCAGGGGGTTTCGGGTTCGATACCCGGGTCGGGCAAAGTATTACTGGTTTTTTAAAAATCTCGGTAGTAGCACTGTGTCTGGAAATGCGCCCGGTATATGGCAATAGGCTCACCCCCTATTACATTGGACTCATAACATAAATAATAGTGAAAAGTGGGTGTTACATTGTACAGTAGCATTAAGTGCCGTAATGTGCACCACTGCCTATCCCTTCGGGGATAAAAAGGCGGGATGTTATGTTATGTTTTTTTACTTTTATGAAAGGTATTGATTAGTCTTTATTAACTTTTAAGTACCTAACATTTGTTGCAGTTACTTCTTAAATTAACAATTATAGAATATAATAGGTACATTTATTTGTAGATACCTACAACCGCACTAATGATAAAAAGTTAACTTTGATACGAAATCCAATTGAGATTAGCTATTGCGGGAAATTCAATGACTACATATTTCCTAGAGTTGTGACACATATCCAAATCTTAGACTTCAGTCAAAATGCCTTCAGTTATTATGCATCATTATGCATTCAGTTATTTACAAGAAACACTAGGCAAAACAGAAAGGAGCTAACTCTCACTCCCTTTCTTCCACAGCCAACCCACCTACACGACGATGTCCTAGGCGTAGTGAATCACCTGGAACAGCTCTCCACCTTGCTAGTACTCGAGGCTAAAGCGAGGGAGATCAACACTGCGACCAGCCCCGCCTCCTGCCTAGAGTATCTACTCAGTGAAAACCTGCTGGATAAGCTTTATGAATGGGCTGTTTGTACTGGAAAGTAAGTGTTACTGAAGATTTTAGAACCT